TATCTATGGGGCTGGCACCGTGGCTCACTAGGCTAATCCTCCGCCTACGGTGCTGGCATCCTAGGTTCTAGTCCCAGTTGGGGTGCCGGATTCTGTCCGGGTCACTCCTCTTCCAGTCCAGCTCTCTGCTGTGGCCCGGGTGTGCAGTGGAGGATGGCCCAAGTGCTTGGGTCCTGCACCCGCATGGGAGACGAGGAGGAAGCACCTGGCTCCTGGCTTCGGATTGCCGCAGCGCACCAGCCGTGGCATACCGGCTGTGGCAGCCATTTGGGGGGTGAACCAACGGAAGGAAGACCTTTCTCTCTGTTTCTCTCTCTCTCACTGTCTAACTCTGTCTGTCAAAAAGAAAAAAAAAAAAGATTTGCATCTATGAAGTATATTGTTCATTTTTTTTTTTTTAAATTGCAGCCAGCATTGTGGTGCAGCAGGTAAAGCTGCCACCTGCAACAGCAGCATCCTATAAAGGTGCTGGAGCTGCTCCACTTCTATTCTTATGGCCTGGGCAAAGCAGCAGAAAATGGTACAAGTGTTTGGGCCCCTGCCATACACATGGGAGACCCAGATGAAGCTCCCAGCTTTGGCCTGGCCCAACCCGGGCTGTTGTGGCTATCTTAGAAGACGGTGGCCAGATCTCTCTCTCTCTCTCCTCTTATCTTTCTGTAACTCTTTCAAATAAATAAATAAATAAATAAATCTTTTTAAGAAACTAAAGGAAACTAAAAATAAGGAAAATAAAATAAATAATAATACATATTCAATGGATTTGGCAGGCTACTAATCAATTAAAGAAATGTTAATTTCCTCAAGCAAGAATGTTATTTGAGACTACTCCATAAAACTATTAATCAATAGGAGATATCATTTCACATTCTTCCACATTTTATATGAAAAAATACACATATTTGAGCATGGTCACTCAAATGAACAATGTAATGATTCACAAAAAAGTACACTATCTAAAATGACATCAATTGCACTGTAGATCTACATCTGTAACAAAGACATGACTTTACCAAGTCATAGTCCTCCAGTTGCTTCATCTGTAAAATAAAGTTTTGCAAATTCTGATTTCCATGATTATCCCCAGATTAAGTATGGCATGATTCTAACAAGGTTAAGAGGTATAACTTACTAGAGATCCATTCTTTACTTTAATAAGAGTAGGCAGCTTTTTTGTTTGAGTATTGTTGATATAAATCATGAAATTAAACTTCATACAAAAAATTCAGAAAGTGGAATAATCTTGTTTCAATACTCATCATTATAAATCAAATAAGGGCTCTTATAAAACTCAGAATAATACCATTCATACTGGAACTTGAAGAGCCATTAGATATTTAAATGCTTCCATACCTTGCAAACTTACTTGAATCAGAGACTATAGAGATACATTAGATTAGAAACAGACATTGAATGTATCTTTGGCTTTCTCACATCCAGAGGAGACAAAAGTTATATTCTCAGAAATAGCAAATAGTCAGATTCTTTTAAAATATTTGATTTAGAAAAAAACTTTGTACTCAGGATTATAATTGGTTAATTTATCACCTTTCCTGAAAATGATACATTTTAATTATAATGCCCAACATATTTCTACCATGTTTCAATACTACAGAAAAATTTAAAGTACATTTGCATGACTTCCAATTTAATATTCCTAAGTACATGATTATAAAGAAAATGCAGTAAATTTTACCTTAAAAATGTATACCTACCAAATGTATCTTTCTAGCAATATAGGAAATCTAGCATAAGAAATGAAATAAAAAAATTCCATACCCCGAAAATCTTATCTTCAATGTTTAAAGATTTGCTGGCTTATAACCCTTTTACCCTTGTTTACATTAATTGTAAACAAAATGCTCTATTACTTATACATTTTGAAGTCTATCATGTTAGAAGATAATCAGTAAATTGCAGCACATACTTCTGCATAATATCTTTATTATTAAGAGAATTAAATGGCCTTTGTTTCAGAGTCATTTTTCAGAAAGTAAATTACTAGGTTAAACCTTTGCAATTCCATGTATCCTTTTATTTATTTGAAAAAAGGGAAATGAAAATTTTAATGGATGAAATCATGATACTGAATGCTATATTTTATAATCAATGACTTACTATTTAAAAATAATTAAAGAGGTACATTATCACACCAATAGCAATCCCATAATTATTTTTGTAAATGAAACTTATATGGAGAGGCTAGAGATCACAATCCAAGACTCTAATAAAAGACTATGTTGTTCTCCTGGATTTAACAATTTCCTGCTGATTGGATAATGCTATATATTTAACATTCTTAATTCCACTCCACTTTATAATAAGCATATACATTAATAACATTCAAACATAATCAACAGAGATTATGTTTGAACAAACTGGTGCCTCATATGTGTGTTAGACAAATTAATAATATCTAATCATTATTCTTGTATTCAAAGAAATATATAGTGTACTTATAGGATCAAAATCACCCCACCATTGTAAATTATACATTGTGTTTTCCTTTCTATATACCAGTAATTTGTGTTTACAAAGACTTCTATAATGAAGCTTTAACATTATCTTTATAAAAGGCAATGGATAAATGATCTTATTTTTGCCATTTTCCATAATTTTATCATGTATTCTACAATACCTTTGGATATTGCTTGACAGGAATCAACACTCTTTCTGACAGTTTTATGTTTTTGTTGCTGATGACATCAAGATATTTCTTTTCTTCATCATCCTTTTTTCCATCAGATCCTTGAAATTTTTCAATTTCTGAAAAGCACACAAGAAAAAAGTAAAATGAGAACAGAATTCACCATAAATTAAACCACACTGATTACTCATGTTACTTCTCTTCTCAACTATGGTTCTGCAGAATCTCGGTAAAATGCCTGGAGCACCATTCTTGTTAGCAGTTATGCGAATGCTGTTACTACTATATGTAAGGTGATCTCTGTCAATTAAAACTAAACAGTAATACTTGAAGCTGTTCCTGTGTCTTATATGAAACAAATGACACATTTCGTTGTTAACATCTTGGAATAAAATAACAGAAAGAATCTGCCCCTTGAATACTTAAAATATCTAAGAAAGCATAATTTTCCCCAGAGCAACAACAAAATATCTTTTAAGGTTATATGTTTTATTTTCACTCTAAATTATTCCAGATCATTAATATATGAATATATGTGTATATATTCATATGTATATATATTTTTCTTCCTCAAGCAGAGGCCTGAATGATGAGAAAGCATAAGTCATGAGATTAAGAAGTGCAAATGTGTACTCTGAAGGGTATGTTGCTTGCTCTTTGAATTGTAGGAAGGAAGAAAACCTATGAGATGAGGTTTCAGTGTTCACTAAGAAGAAGCCTGACCAATGGTCACAGGACAGATCATGCAAGATCTTGTCAGACAATGGACATTTTCTGTTTTATATGCTGAATGAAATTGTATGTATGGTCTTTGGTGGGTAAAGGAGGAAACCAGATAAATTTTTATTTACAGAGATAACATGTTACAAAGTTTCATGCGAACCACTGATAGCAGAGAACAAAGAAGGAAACCAACACACTAACTGTCAAACAAAACTGACTGGTACTGACAATGTAAAAATGAGCTAGTGAGAAGAACAGACAGATACAAATAGAGTAAGTTCATTGAATCTACTACATAAAATAATTTTTTGCAAAATAATTGAAAAATATTTTAACATTTTTATTTATGTTTACTGAATAGTTATTATAACCATAGTTATTTATTACATATACATATTTATTCTTTTTCTTCACCAATTTTACTGTTTAAAACTAACTAAATGAAGATATAGATGTGAAAATTTTTTAGATTTGTTAGTGATGAACAGAAACATTCTGTTTCAGTTATCTTGTAGTAGAGAAAAGATGATGACAGTTATTTAGTAAGGACATTTTTAACATACTAACTTACATTGTATTTTGTAACAATTTTAAATGTAATTATATTTTAAAGGTAAATAATTATAAAGGTAAGAATATTATTGTATTAATAGATTCATGTATTTATTAATTAAAATTAATTTATTAATTTAAAGGTAATAATATTATAAAATATTTTTGTTCCATATTGTCTCATTTTTAAAAAAAAAATTTTTTTTATTTGAAAGGCAGAGTTAAAGAAACCAGGCAACGATGGTGGAGGGTGGGGTGGGGAATCTTTCATTGGCTGATTCACTCCCCAAATGGCTACACAGCCTGGGGTTGGGCCAGACTGAGGCCAGGAATTTCTTCCAGGTCTCCAATTTGGGTGTAGGGACCCAAGCACTTCGGCCATCTTCTGCTGCTTTTGAGGTTCCTAAGAAGCTGGATTCGAAATGGAGCAACCAGGATTGGAACCTGCACCCACACAGGATACTTTCACTGCAGGTGGCAACTGAACATGCTATGTCACTATGCTGCCCCTGTTGTTTAAATATTTTATTAAATGAGCTACTGGATAATATTTTGATACATGTATAAAATGTTTACTGATCAAATCAGGATAATCAACATTTCTCTCTCTTTGACATTAGTTTATAATTGGAGCCTAGGTTCACATAGGTTATAAAAATTTCCCTAAAACACTCCAGGTGGCAACCGTTTCATGTACTATTTATTTGGTCTGCATGAAATTTAAAACCACATATTCCCATGTAATATTAAATTACTTATCCAGACAATACTTGAATGAAAGCTATCCTGGAGATTATACAAAGTCATTGATATCCATTTTATCAGTAATACACCATAATTTACCCAAAGAAAAATATCTTAAACTGAACCATTGAATAATAAGTTTTATGCATAATTTGTATCTAGTTGATGGCATCAGATAATTACTTTCATATATCCAACTTTAAGAACACAGTGATACTTCCCATGATACCCATCTACTCTTTGCCTCTGCCCTCTCCTTAATTTTAGTTTTTATAATGACATATTTTAGGGGTTACAAATGTGCTAGGGGATTCCAATACAATCCCATCAAGATTGCATGTGCCAAGGCCATCTCACTAGTCCAAGTGATCAATTTCAGTTCACAATTGATCACACTGATAGGTCTAAGAGTCAAAGGGATCACACAAACAAGACTAGTGTCTGCTAATACCAACTGATAGAATCAAAAAGGGAGAGAACGATCCAACATGGGAAGTGGGATACACAGCAGACTCATAGAATGGCAGATGTCCTAAACAGCACTCTGGCCTCAGAATCAGCCCTTAAGGCATTTGGATCTGGCTGAAGAGCTCATGAGAGTATTTTAGGCATGGAAAGCTAAGACTCTCTGGCTTGGAACAACATGCTCCTGAATGAACAATGGGTCATAGAAGAAAATAAAAGAGAAATCAAAAATTTTCTGGAAGTAAATGAGGATAACAGCACAACATACCAAAACTTATGGGACACAGCAAAAGCCATGTTAAGAGGAAAGTTTATATCAATAGGTGCCTACATCAAGAAATTGGAAAGGCACCAAATAGATGAGCTTTCAATTCACCTCAAGGATCTAGAAAACCTACAGCAAACCAGACCCAAATCTAGTAGGAGAAGAGAAATAATTAAAATCAGAGAAGAAATCAACAGGATTGAATCAAAAAAAAAAAAATTACAAAAAATCAGCCAAACGAGGAGCTGGTTTTTTGAAAAAATAAACAAAATTGACACCCCATATTCCCAACTAACTAAAAAAAGAAAAGAAAAGAAAAGACCCAAATCAATAAAATCAGAGATGAAAAAGGAAACATAACAACAGACATCACAGAAATGAAAAGAATCATCAGAAATTACTACAAGGACTTGTATGCCAGCAAACAGGGAAACCTATCAGAAATGGATAGATTCCCGGACACATGCAACCTACCTAAATTGAACCAGGAAGACATAGAAAACCTAAACAGACCCATAACTGAGACAGAAATTGAAACAGTAATAAAGGCCCTCCCAACAAAGAAAAGCCCAGGACCAGATGGATTCACTGCTGAATTCTACCAGACATTTAAAGAAGAACTGACTCCAATTCTTCTCAAACTATTCAGAACAATCGAAAAAGAGGAAATCCTCCCAAATTCTTTCTATGAAGCCAGCATCACCTTAATTCCTAAGCCGGAAAAAGATGCAGCATTGAAAGAGAATTACAGACCAATATCCCTGATGAACATAGATGCAAAAATCCTCAATAAAATTCTGGCCAATAGAATGCAACAACACATCAGAAAGACCCTCCACCCAGACCAAGTGGGATTTATCCCTGGTATGCAGGGATGGTTTAATGTGCGCAAAACAATCAATGTGATACACCACATTAACAGACTGCAGAAGAAAAACCATATGATTATCTCAATAGATGCCGAGAAAGCATTTGATAAAATACAATACCTGTTCATGATGAAAACTCTAAGCAAACTGGGTTTGGAAGGAACATTCCTCAATACAATCAAAGCAATCTATGAAAAACCCACAGCCAACATCTTATTGAATAGGGAAAAGTTGGAAGCATTTCCACTGAGATCTGGTTCCAGACAGGGAAGCCCACTCTCACCACTGCTATTCAGTATAGTTCTGGAAGTTCTAGCCAGAGCTATTAGGCAACAAAAAGAAATTAAATGGATACAAATTGGGAAGGAAGAACTCAAACTATCCCTCTTTGCAGATGATATGATTCTTTATTTAGGGGACCCAAGAACTCTTCTAAGAGACTATTGAAACTCATAGAAGATTTTGGCAGGCCCGCGCCTTGGCTCACTAGGCTAATCCTCCCCCTGCGGCACCAGCATACCGGGTTCTAGTCCTGGTCGGGGCACCGGATTCTGTCCCGGTT